TAACACTACATTTGCACAGAATCCTTTCTGCATTTTATAAATGAAAGACGCATTCATCAAAACTCGGTACTAATTCTGAAGCTACTTCAAGTAAAAATCCTTTGATTGTTTAAAACAGAACTGCAAAAAAGCATTTACTACATTGTTGGAGATGTATAAAATGTCATCTCTAGTTTCTGTGAATGTTTGAAATCAGGTTTGGGTTGAGTGGCCGCAGCCTGGGTCTTTAGACAGGTAAAACAAAGGAAGCAGATCTACTCATGGGTGAAGAGAAATTTCCCATGTTCAGAAATGCACACATTTCTAGTGGTATACATCTCTCATTTAAAAAGCTTACTGTTTTTCTAGCAGGAATATAATCTAATCCTAGGCATAAACTTTTATATTCCTAGATGTATTTTTGTGATGCCTTTATTGCTGTATATTATTACCAGAAGATGTAAAGATAAAAATATTGTGTGTGTAAGAAGAGACTGTTAAAGAAGACAAAGAATGAAACATTAAAAATGAAATCGGAAGTTGACAATGTGCATCATTTCATTTACTAAGATGTTAGTGAACATAAATGATTTCTGACAGTATATTTGTTAGAAGGGTATAATGCTAGCTATTCTAAGCAGCTCAGGTTCTACTTCCTTTGGAGAATTTTGCAGACCAATCTTGCAAACCAGAATAGACACAAAATGTCCAAACAATACTTGTGAATATGCCCTGGTATGGGGGAATTACCTTTTGGGACCATTCCAAATTGATTTGAAGTTTAGAAAATTAATGCAAGAGTTATTTGGGGGATTTTTTTTTAAATCCATATAATTATATTGCTAGGGAAATGCCCTGATTCTCAGAAACGGAGTAATTTTTGTTAGGGCAGTCAATAAATATTTTCCATCACTTTGACCTGATTCTGTGAACACCTACATGCATGCACTTACCTTCATGCAGGTGAGTGGCCCTATTGAGTTCCATAGGCCTGTTCACTTACACTTGCATAACTTTGGGCCTGATGCACAATCAAACCAAGTCAACAGAAATGACCCTGTTAATCTCAATGTGGTGTGGCAAAAACCCTTTGCCCGTGACTCTCTGCAGTATCATAAAAAACCCAAACTATATCTATAGAAATATAATTGATGAAAATAAGAGTTGAGAAAATTCATCCTTTTCAGTATGATACTAGTAGAAATTAACTGAGAAGGAAAATTTAGAGATTGCTTGGTTGAAGGAGAATAAAACCCTTAACTTTTAAAAAGTGGCCAGGGATTTTCAGATATATATTTATTTTCCAGTTTGATTGAGACTGCATGAAAAATTCATTTTTTGAGGAAAAAAAATGCAGTTTTTGAGGGCATTCGCAAGCATGGTATGTTCACCATGTGGATAGGCCTAGCATGTCAAATTAGCAGCCTATACCCCTGACAGGCCAGTAAACTTGATTTTAAAGCACCAAACATGCCCAAGGGAATGCTTTTGTGTGTGGATGGGGATTCGAGTTAATTTTATGTGAAGTCAAGCTCTAAGCTGTGCTGGAGCTGTCCTGAAGGAGGCTACAGTAGTGGTAAACCTTACTTTCCCCATTTTCTATCACAGGAGTGCTGCAAGGATTAATTTGCTGATCTCTGAAGAGAACGATGGAAATTAATTCAGGCCCCAATCTTGCAATCTAATACATACAGGCAGCTTGTTGTGCCCTTGCAGGTTTTTATAAAGCTAAGACGGCTTTACACATGAACAACTATCTGCCCATGCCCTTCAGAATACAGGGTCAGGGCCTAAGCATTATTATTTTTATCAGTAATCCTGAGCATCAATTTAATCCATCTCTTTGTTTCTATTTATTAGAAACTTCTCCCATACTCCTCCTAAAATTTAGGGGAAAAGTCTGTTGTAGATGTATAGAAATTAAGGCCCATACCTCCTCAGATTTATATATATTTAACTGTAAAATCAGAAAATATAGGATTATTGAATGGGATTGTGCACCATGCAAAGCATTAAGTATATGTATATTTTTGAGTCTTATGTCCTGCAGAGTGTAGCAGTATTGGGACCTGTCATATTCTCACTGAGCCATATGCATCTAGTTTGGGAGGCTGGGAAGCAATTTCTATCTGTGCAGGTGAATCTGTTGGCTAATGAATTGTGAAAATAATGCTGTTGCTACTACCTACTCATTGGAAATCAAACCTAGCTAAGGCAAAGGCACAGCAAAGCTATTGCAGCTTAGTAATTACTTTTGTCCTAGAAAATGTGTGGCTTTTGTGACTTAAAGCCTTCCAATTTTTTTTTAAAAACAAACTGCACATCCCACCTGTTTTATTTTTTCTAGAAAAAATGTGAAATTCATTAGTATGTGGTGAAAGCATTGTAACAATGTCATTTTGATTTAAAATCTGTTTTAAATCTTAAAATTATGGAGCCAAAGTCTTACCTACAAATAGTCTTGCTGTTATGAGTATGAGGCAGACTGTCAACATTATTTGAACCTGTCTAGTTTTACTAGTTTAATTTTCTTTGTTAGCAGCATCAGTTGAAAACAAAATGAAAAAAGGTAAGAAGTGAGAGAAATAGGTTATTAACACAGCAGGCCAAATTCTGCACACTTCAGTGCCAGTGACTTGGGAAACTCTGGATCTGGTTAAGCCAGAGGCTTAGGCGATGTCAGGACTGAGGACTCCTTTAATCTCCTGTACCTTACTGTAGGTGGAGTAGCCTATTTCTGCTGTTGCTTTCTGTGCTACAGGACATTGCTTCTTTTTTGTTATTGTTATATATTATAACAATAATAATAATAATAATATTGTTATTTTGAACGTCACTTTGTCTCCTTACATCTTCTGTTCTTTTAGACTGCATATTCTGTTAACTCCTACGATTTCTTTCAAATTTCTTATTCTTCTGTCCTAAATTAAATTGGTTCCTTTCACAGAACCTGGGGTACAAATAGCATATTTCCTGTGTTTAATGAGAGCAGTAAGCCAATCCTGCATGTTGCAGACCTAGAAGCCTTAATCATGTGGTCTCTATACCAAATAAAATACTTCTCCTTAGGTTGCTCAGTGAGGGGCTGAATTTTCAGGACAGATTGAGCTTGGGCTTTTCCACCTAGTGCTGATCATATCTCTTACCTTTCCCATGTACTTGATAAATGTACAAATATTTTAAAGCAAAGGCTCTTTTTAGAGTTTGACTTTAAGCAGCATTTAATACTCTAAGAACCTTTCCAGGTACAAAGTAACTGAAGCAGAATTGGAAGTGGGTCTCATTTTGGCTTCTTATGGTCATTCATCCTTATCTCAGACTGGAACAGGACTGATTTGGGATTCTTTTTCTTTGTGAGTGGCTTCTCACAGGGGTGAACACCAGGACTGTGCAAAGCTTTGGTAGCCGATTCGATTTGGAGGAGATTCGGCCCAATTCGGTGACCAAATATCCGAATCCAAATCGAATCAGGAAACCAAGTAAAAGCTCTGAGTCAAATTGGAAGCCTCTGAATTGATTTGGAAAAGATATGGCTTCCAGCTGTAAGTCAGTTGTGGTGGGGGGAGGGAAGGGGCATGGGGGAGAGAAGGATTGGGGCTGGGGCTGGGACAAGCTGCCCAGCTGGGGTGGGAGGGTGTAGGATGTGAGCGCAGCAAGGAAGGAAGGCAAGGACCTATTAGTAAAAGAAGCAATTCCCTCTCAGATTTTTTTTTTTTTTCTTTATGGCTCAAGAATTTTCCACTGTTTTTTGGCTGGTGAAAGATTTGTCATCTGAGGAGAATTTTCTACCAAAATATAGTCCAAGTGGAAGATTCTCATAGGTAAAATAAAACAAGGTAACAATGTTGCTATGGGTATAATAAATTTTAGATAGCAATTTAATTTCACTTCTTTGCATTTGATGTTAAATTAAGGTGGGAATATTGCCAAGGACTGAAATAGTAGCAGGGTTGTGGGTTGGTGAGACTTCCTCTTGGAAAACTCCAGAATGTCCTTTCTTCAGAAAGTTTTTGGTAGCTTAGTCCTTTGATTTGTAACAACTGGGATGCTTTTCATTGCGGGCAAAATATATATTTCTTCTCTGAGATATAAGGAATAAATGTATGTTAATCCTGGAATGAGATCCCCTGAAAAGTGTCTGCTAGAGGAGGGAGCTAGGACTAGATTTAAAACTACAGTTAAATTTTGTTAGTTCTCCTCAACAACACAAAGGCCAGAAAAATGTTGGAAAATAGCTAAGCACAGGGGAACCCTGCTGACAGTAGCTCATTCTGGAAGGTGTGCTCTTGCTCTTTGGTCCAAATGTCCTTTTTCTCAGCTATGATCCAACTGGAGCAGGGAGCTCAAGCACATGCACTGGAATAGGACTTATGCAATTAATTGGATCTGTTCTGCTTTGCAGTTGGCTAAACTGTTCAAAGTATTATTCTGAAAATGGGCTACATACAAATGACACCTTCTCATTCAACATATTTTCTCTATGTGCATAGACAGAGTCTGACCTCTTCATCTGAGTGATTAAGAAATAAGTTTTTCCTATAGTTTTACCTGTCATTAGTCCTACAGAACTACCTGGGGTGGAGCCAGAATTTTTCCATGTATATTTTCCTCAGAATCTTCTATGCAATTTCAGTTCCAGATCCAGTACCTGACACCTGTACCTGACCCCTTGGTGGTGGAGTCTATACAGCTGTCAATGAGGTACAGTTTCAAGACCGGGAAGGTGCGCAGGTTTAAATCAGGATAGAACTGAGCCTGCAGAAGCGTTAATTATTAGTGATAATGCAAAAAGAGGGTAGGACACTGTTTCATTTGTAGAATTCAGGTTCAGTTTTCAGGTCAGAACCAGAATTGTAATGTGAATATCTGATCTTACAGTCTTTACTCAATATGAGCAGCTTCAGTGAAGCCAAGCCCAAGTAAACTGTCTGTGTTGCACTCTTTGGCCGGTGAGTTTGTAAACTCTGTACATAAAATGCTATTTTTGTTTCACAATGTTTCCTTTCTCCTTCGTTTACTAGATGTTTGTTGCCGAGGAGAATGTGGATTTTCGGATACATGTGGAGAATCAGACAAGAGCAAGGGATGATGTAAGCAGGAAGCAGCTTAGACTCTATCAGCTGTACAGCAGGACAAGTGGAAAACACATCCAAGTGCTAGGCAGGAGGATCAGTGCCAAAGGAGAAGATGGAGATAAATATGGTAAGAATGTTTTCTGTGACCAGCAAGGTTCCAGTAAAAAAAAGAGTTTGAAATCAATATGTTTTGATGAGAACAACAGAAAGACGCAAGGCAAACCCAAAAGGTAAAAGAAGAACTCTTGAAGGGTAGGGATGAAGAATTTTCCATATCCAATTAGGCCTATTTGGCTATTAGGTCCTCCAGTGATGTTTCAGAGAATGCTCCATCTATTTATCCAGCTGTATCCCATTCAAGGGGGAAAATTTCTCAGTATCTTACAGAAGTGCAGCTCACTGGCAGCGACATGTTGACAATTAAAAAAAAATATACTGTCCCAAACTTAGCTGATTTTTTTAATGCCATTGCAACCTGAACTATAGCCCTGACTTTCAGAGGTTGAAAACTTTCTGAGCAACCTTGGGCCAAATTTTAAATGAGTCTCAGCTGACTTGAGTGATTGCTCTTCCTCATCTTAGGTTCTGGGGAGAAATTTATATTTAAGCTAAAAGCAAGTGGATGTTACAAGTTTTGGCTGAATTTTACTTTGGGCTTTGGGGTTGTTTGCAGTCCCAAGCTCAACTTGAAGCTCAGGGATGTGTGAAGCAAAAGAACTGAAAGTAACAAACTAAGCTTTCTTCATACTGAAATGGTTGAACTCCCTGTAGCTCAGCACTGGAGCTGGCTACCTGTATTTTAACTTATGCCAGGGATTTATAAAAGAAATGTTGCTGTGAAATTGAATTAGAAAAACTGTTTGGAAAATTATTTTTTCCTTTATACTCTCTAGCATGTTTTTAGTCAGCTTGGCATCCTTGAAAGGGATTTAGGGCTGGATACTTGAAGTTACCCAGTGCTATTCCCAGCTCCCATTGGACTAAATTGGAGTTCTGAGTAAAGCATTGTAGGATCAGATCCAAAGGATCAAAAAGCTAGTCTAATGAGCCCAGCATTGTAGTTTTCTCCAAGCTGCACCAAGTGGGCTGTAGCAGAACATAAAACCACCTGGAAAGTAGAAGCACCTTATTTACTGTTGTCCCATATCTGGCCCTTAGATGAACATTACTTTAGAAATTCATGAGTATACACTGCCTGTGTGACTGTATATGACAGATTTCATGTACACGAACTGTGATATGGGCCAAAGAAAGAACCTTGCAGAAAATTATTTACTCTCACAGGGAACCTATGGAGAGGGGATTTGTCATATCAGACCTAGGTGTCATTTGTGTCTTTGAAGAACTAGTTTTGATAGTTTTAGGGAAATGAGACAAGTCCTACTGTGTGGCCAAAGCCCTAGTCTGTTCTGCAGCATGCTCATTATACCTAACAAAGGCTTTGTGAGGGTGCTTATAAATGCTGTGCTTTGCTTTTCCAAAATTTCTCAGGAGAATGGGAGAGGAGAATCCCAGTTAGGTGCTCATATAACACTATTTGGCTGCTTTTGTCCTCTTTCTGGTCTCTGTCATGAATGCACGGTCTCTTTTGAAAGCTCTCCACAATCCCAAATATGAGCTCTACATTCTAGAAGAGGGGATGCTGATGTCCCATTTGGAAACTATGCTATGACTGGCATGTCCAGCTCTACCAGCTGTATGGCAGCAGGGAGCTCTGCACTCTTTCAGGTTTCTTCTCATCATGCTCCGAGGACATCCTCTGCAGAATTCTGCAGTCTCCCACTTTGAAGCCCCAGCTTATCTTCAGTTTCTGAAATATCCCTCTGACCTCAAATGGATGGACCCTGGCCCATCTTCTCTGACTGCTAAAACTAAGCCTCCCTGGTTTGCCCAGCCTTCTGATTCTCTCACCTGTAGTAGTGCTGAGGGGGTTATGGAAATCTATTCATCATCATACATGGTACAGGCATGCTCAAAGCATAAATGGGAAGAGAGTGAGTGGGGCTCGAGTATCCAGGATGTGGCCCATGCAGTGCTGCTGGCTGTGATAATGAAGGGGTGGGGGATGTCAGAGTCACTGAGGTGGTGAACCATCTGTGTTACAGCCAGCACTGGCTACAAAGACAAGGACACAGGATTCATTATTTTGAAGGAGCTCCTTCCCCCAGGGGCACTATTATGGAGTATCCTTTGATCAGGACCAGAGAGAGATTTAAACCAGATCTCTGGATCTAAACAGTTGACTTTAGATCCAAATCGAAATATTGCAGAGTAAAGAGGTACTATTCCTCTTGTCCACCAGTTGGCTGTTTTTTTTCTAAGAACTTTATTAACAAATCCAACTTATCAATAAATTTAACATTGAAAGATACACCAACCATTTGAAGATGCATCCAAGGCAGGGTGTGAATGGGGCACCAAGAGTGGCCCTCGGGGAGCCCGCACCACTGCCGGTCCCTCAACAGCAACTGCAGCAGTTGCAACTGCTGTCCAAATGAAGAGACAGGGCAGATAAAACTCCTTTCTATCTCTTCTCTCTTCTCTTCTCCCCCCAAAAACTCTCCAGTAGTTAGCATAATTCCCCTCCCCCCCTTTCTTCCCAGGGCATTGAAAGAGCTTGCTATGCCTCTGGTTTGAGTTGATGGTAAATTTTTGAGTTTCTTCAAGTCTAAATATAATCTGCTTAATAATTCATCCCCTTTTCTCCTCAGGAGTTGGCTGCTCTTGCCACACATACACTCTTCTTTCCTCTCTCATCATTTCTGAATTTGGCCCTGTAAATCAGAACCAGGATTAAAATTTGGGAGCTTCTGATTCCTAATGCCATCTTTATTTATTTTTAAGGAAGCGATTCTCAGCCAGGGTGTTGTGGCACCCTGGAATCCATCGTGTCAAAAACATTTTGACCTGTTGTCATCTTTCTGATTCTTTGCCATAGAAGAATTGCTCTATTATTTTTCTGTGGTCAAGAAATGTGTGTGAGCTAAAAGCTGGCATTCTTTATGGGTGCCTTAAGAATAACAAGTGGTATCTTGAGTCTAATGAGGTTGGACTGCTACTAACTGCTATTCTAGGGCATGTTGCTACTATTGTAGGGGATAGTCCTCTAACTCCACATCACTAGTTAGAACAGAAAGAAGAAATAATGTTAACGCAGAAAGTAAACAGGGGCCACAGGGGAGAGATGGAGTCATATCCAAGGATCAATTTGGAAGGGAGGGTGTCTGCAAAGTTGTGACAAAAACTGGAAAAGGTGCTTGAGGAAGTAGAACAGGAGTTGACTTCAAACATGTATTATGCCCTCCAGGTTACATAAAAAGCCCAAACAGGTTGTCATAGGTGTATCCTTAATTGTTATAAATTGTCATTGCCACAGCCTTAATTGTTCTAAATTCCCTGTGCAAATCTGCTGGTTAGTGCAATGGCAACTGTTGTGGGCACAAGTCTGGAAGAAGAAGGTAGGAGTTATCTCTGGGGAAATGTGCAATACTGTGTGTGTTCCTAAGCATGCCTCCAACCACTGAATTTATTGTATCACTTCTGAGTGCATGCATACATGTACAGTATTCCCTGACCTAGATGAGTGAATTCTTTCACTCTATGTACCAGTAGACACTCTGATCTTCTAAATGAGCAACAGTTTTTCACTTGGAAGATTGCTTAATGCAAAGATGTCGAGAGAAGTGAAATCAAGTCTGAGTCAGTGAGGTGGTGGTTTCAAAGCTATAGCCTCAGTGATTAGCACAGCACAATTACCATAGAGCTGCTCTTAGTAAAAGAAAGCTGCGAATGTGGTGACATGAAATTCCAAACAGAGGGTACAAGTGCAAATTCTGATGTGGGCAAAATGGCCAACATAATTTGGATGTATAATTCTGGGTTTGCACAAAGGGGCCTTAACTCAGAGACCAGGATCTGACCCTCTGTGTCCAATTTATTAAACGGAGAATTAAAACTGTTAATAGAATTAATGGAGTCAATTTAATCCTTTTAGTCAGATGAATTTTATCCCTTCTTCAATGTATGGGAATCCATTTCAACAGATAAGTCAATTATCAGACTAAATTACATCTAATAATAATGCCTACCACTTGCAGAAACACTAATTAATCTAAATATACTTACCTATCTCACAAAAGCGGGCAGGGGAGATTTAAAGCTTAATTGATGTTCCTGACGTGCTCTGAGACCCTTAGATAAAAGGTGATATACATGTGCAAAATATTATCTCTTAAAAGACCATAAACTACTTAATTTTTACTTTAGTATCTTTTAATCTACTCTGAGGTAGTTTGCTCTAGCTTGGAAAAACAATATTCTTATTACAAGCTTAGTACTTCTTTACCAGGTGTCTAAGTGGCTGTTTTCATTCAGAAAATGGAAGGAGGGGGAAAAAACCCTCAAGAAAGAAAAGAAAAAACAACAATTAATGTGCTTGCCAAAAAAGGGAACTGGAACCTTTATATTCTATCTCAGATAAATGGTACAGATAGGAAAGATAGAGATCAATGACCTGAAACACTAGAGCTCTCTAATTTATTTTCATTTCACAGAAGGCAGAAGACATTCTATACTGTTTGTTCACTATCTTTGTGTCCGGTTCACTTGGTGTGATGCAGCTCTCTAGGCTGGGTTCAAGGTACTTTGGCTCATCTGTATTTCACAGCTGTGTGATTTTGTTTTAAAGTATATTTGTCACGGTCTAATGCTACGCTGTGGAGGAGTTTAAAGGTATATCCATGAGAAGTTACTTTCTACACTGCTTGTGTGGCATGTCTGCCACTGGTTGTCCATCCTGGCTGATGGGTTCCTCCCCAGAGATGCCTGTCTTTTTAGAGCTATGAGAATTTTAATGTATGTAGGGCATAATTAATTCCTATGTGGAGGGTCAGATCAAGATCTATATGCTACATAAGCCCTCAAAATAGAGATTTAAAGGAAGCAAAAATGGTATTCTGTGCTTGCCCTCTGCACTTGAATAAATTTTAGCTATACTGAGTAAGCCGTTTGGGATCCTTAGAGAAGGAATGTGCTATATGTAGATGAGTCGTCATCTTTATTATAGTTTACTGTCTCATAGTGCTGTCCTCTAAAGCACAATAAATATTTCACTAGCCTGACCCCTTTGTGAAAATACTCTCTAATTAGCATTCCAGTTTATAATAATGCTTTGAGCTAATTGTATGTTTGTATCTGCCCTAAAAGGGCTGCTGTGCTTAGATTTGGAGTCTCTCATCTTAATTCTTTGTTCAGGCACCAAACACTTTTTAAATTTCAAGCCTCTCTAAGGGCCTGATACTAAGCCACTGAAGTATCTTGTAAGATCCTCACTGACTTCAGTTGCTGTGTGCCTTGCCAGCATCTTCCTCTGTTTTTCAGGGAGTCTCAGCCTAAGTGCTACCACTTGCCTCATGTATGTCATTGTGATGCAGAGAATAATTGGGTCTTTTGCTCTGAAGTTTAAATCCAGTCCTGAATTCCACTTGGAGATTCATAGGGAGCCAGAGCAGCTCTTCCCAAATTTTTTCCAGTTAGATCTCCAATTTGGTGCAACTCATAAAGTGGTGACTATTCATGTGCCTGTTCATGAGCTGTTTCCTATTTAATTCATGGGGTTATAAGAGAAAGTGCAGTACCTCTGTGGGCATTTTTACCTGACAGTGGGTGTATTTACTTGAGACAATTACCGCGGAGTTGACTAATTAACTCCACAGTGAACTCTTGCATTTATACATGTGGCCCTATTAGGCTGCAGGAAACTAATTAAATCTGTAGCAGAATAGTACTTGTATTTACAAGTACTATCCTGCTGTGGAGTTTTTAATCCACAGCAGTACACGTGTAGATGATGATGCAGCTGGCTGGGGCACAAGGGTGCTTCAGTATGGGGGCTGCTTGAAGCCTTACACTGAAGCACCCTCATGGCCCAGCCAGCACCTCTGCAACACGTTGAGCTGGGTCAGAGCAGCCCCAGGCTGGCAGACTGGCCCCTCATGCCCCCTGCCAGCTGGGGCTGCTCCAACTTAGCTCAAGGTTCTGCGGTCCTGGGTGCACATGTAAATGTGGCACCTGGGAGCAATGAACTCACGGCGGATTTTCTTGTATTGCATTAATATGCACATGTAGATGTGCCCAGTAAGATCTGAACTGCAGTGGGTTACCCCTGAATGAAACCGGGCTAAATTGCCCCGGTTTAGTTTTAATTTACTGCAGGATAGCAGCCAGTACAGAGATAGTTACTGAAGAGCAGCTGAGGCATGGTAAGTCCCCATCCTCTGTTAATTATGGCCTTGGGAGAAGTAGGGGCTCTTTGGGGCTCACAACCCTACTCATATGCTCTATGATCTCTAGTTTGGGAATCGTTATCTTTTCATACTGAATTAATGTGCTGATTGAGCAGTTCTTTGGGCTTGACTGCCTGATAGCTAATCTAGAAATCCTTAAACTCATTTCACTAATGAATCCCATTTGTTCTAACTCAAAATCTGGAAACAAATATAAAATACCATTGCCATTGTGCCCCACCTTTAGCAAGTCATTCCCTTCTCTCAGTATTTCTGGTACTTTAACAGCCTTGGGAAAACCAATTAACCCTTCTCCTTCCTCCTATAGTTGAAATCGACTATAGTTCCCCTGAGAATAGGGGTGAGGGGAAGGAAAGGAGATGAAAACTACTTCTTGTGCCTGGAAGGCACAGAGTTAGTATTTACTTACTAGAGGGGAGGCAATATCCCAAATAGTTACTGTGGCTAGTTACATACAGACACCTTTCCATAGGCATAACTTACAAGCTTAACCTTTAGAAATCTGCTTTGCTTCCCAAGAGCCAGGTATATGCAAAAAAAAATAAGGGCCCGTCTGTCTTAGTACATATCAGCAAATACTCTGAATGAGCTGTGATTTGCTCAGTAATTTATTCAGCCAAACCATCAGGATGGCTGTTTCCTATTTAAACTAGGTATTGCTGCCTCCAGTCTCTTCCCATTACAGTTTTGACATGACAACAAGACAAATAATTTTTTTTAAAGACCTTTTATCTTCTAAACCATTTATTTTCACTTACTTAGCCTGGGGGCAGAGCTGACCTCAGCATAGCGATGATCATTCACCGTGGCAGCTGTACAGTCATACAGGGCCATGTGATTGGGCTAAACCAAGGAAGCCTTCGCTGTCCAGCTGCTATGCTGTCTCTTTTTTTTTTTGCACAACATCCACTGATTGCTTTTTTGTAATGTCTTCCCTTCTCATTTGGGTGGTGCAAGCGTCCGGTGGCAAAGTTTTCCTTTGAAAATGGGTGAGGAGACATTGAGTGTGACAGGGCAGCTGGATGAATTGGAAACAGTGCAAGCAGGCTCCTTGCTTTGTTAAAGCACTAATAGTAAGGCTGTTGCTGGACCTCCCAGGATTCTCTGGGCAACGAGAGGGCTTGATTACCATCACCTTAGATTCTGTTCTGAAAGGTTCAGCAACCGTTTCAAATATGCTGTAATTGTCTTATATAAGAACCATCTGTACAATTTTTGTTTTTGTTTTTTTTTCTCTTTCCTATGTTCTGTCTTTGTGCCAAGGTAGAGGGAAGTTCTATTTAGGACAGATGAGGAGTAAAAAGCAAGGCTATGAAAAATCTATTTCAAATAGTGACTTTTTCCTAGCCTTCAAGACCTCCCTCTGCCTCCCTCAATATTTCTCTCTCTAAAATACTGCATGCACAATCATTATGCACAATTATTAATTCCACAACTGCCTGTCAATGACCTGTCTTTTGCGCAAGCTGAGGGTATTTGCCTTGATTTTTTCAGAAGTGACTGGTAGTTTTTTACTTCAACATTTCTGAACCTAACTTGAAACTCAATTAAAGGGCCTGCTTTTCAGGTGACAGGCTCAGCACTTTCTGAAATACACCTTTTTAAGGTGTCCCTAGCTAGGCATCTAAAAACTGAAACCCTCAAATTACTAGTCTCTTTTGAAAATGTAAGCATTTGCGCCTGCAAATATTTGGTACCCACAATCAGTGGTGGTGTTGGGGTTAGCAAACCATGGCTAGGCTTTAACATGGGAGGGGGAAAGGGGGGGGGGGTTTGGTTAACTGTGTGTGTGTGTGTGTGTGTGTGTGTGTGTGTGCGCGCACTCTAAGTGTTCTCATTAGAAATGCAGAATAGGAAATAGGATCCCATCTGCGAGCAATTTAAGAGGAAGTGAGACAATGGAGTCGATTGCTGCTCCAGTTTAGATAATCAATACAAATATTATTAGTATAGTGATTTATCTTCGTAGGCACTTTATGAAAATGTGAATGCCAGACCCCAAAGACAAGTCAATATAATATTATTTGTTTCTGCTTTGTTGTGATGAGACCTTCCTTCCATGAAGCTTGTACAGCTGCCTTTCTAAGTGTTCTTTCCTGGCTGTGGTAAAAACAGAAAACCCCAACTTTTCCCCCCTCTTTTTCCTGCTTCTGAAAGAAAGTGTAGATAGCTGTTGTGTTTGTTAGGAGAGAAACTGATATTAGCATTTTATTCAAGTTTTGTACAGTGGGCCAGTTAATGGGAGACAACAGAATGGTAGAGGGAATTTTTGCATTATTTTGAATGTTTTATTTCTTGGACCACACAAAAGACTCATTCTTCATAGAGGCAGAGAGAACATAATAGCACTGTGTTCATCAGTGTTCTGGTGTATTTGTTTACCTAGGTTTTGATATCGAGCCTAATACCATGGTGCCTGAGGTTTTCCATATGTTTAATAATTTCCTGAATTAAAACAGATTCTTTTGATTGTTAGACACAATCAAATATGCCTTGGAAATAGAGTTGCAAGTTCTATGTACTATTTTAAAATGAAAAACCATTTTCATTGTTTTTTAAAATTTAAACAAGTTTACATAATAATTGTTTTTCAGTAATTTAATACTGCTTTTACTCTTCTTGACAACTCTCTCTCTGGCCCTTGATATTCTACCACTGCATTGCTGTGAGCTACTGTCTACCCCACCTCCCCACCCAGCCAGGCTCATCCCCCTACCTCTAGGAGCCCCTTCACTGTGTAGTCTAGCATATCCTGTATTCCACCCCTGACAGTGCCCAGTGCCAGATGCTGGAGAGAACAGTACAGGAGAAACCCATCCTGGACAATGTGGGGGACTGGTCCGGCCAGAGAGGGGACAGATCTGCCAAAGTCCATGTAGTGAGTGCGAGCTGCCCAGCAGTGCGAGTGACAAAACCAAGGGTGTTTATACGTGTGCTCCAGGAGTGTGTGTGTGTGTGTGTGTATGGGGGGAGGGAGGCAGTGCTTTAGTTAGTGGAAGCTCCCAGAGCACCACGTGCATCAGTGTCCCCATGTTAAAAAATGGCAGTGGGGGTGCTTTAACTACAGCTCATTCAAAGAAAACACTGTCAACATGTCATCAAAGCGATTATTTTGATTTTTTCCTTTAAGAAAAGCCTCCGTTTCAGTAAATGAAAAATATGTCAGTAACCATTTTAATACTATATTTGATAAAAATGGTCCCACCCAATTTTGCTAAATATTTACAAGAAAAGAGAAAAATGGGTTTGTTTTAAAGCCTTTGAAGAGGCTTTTGATTTAATTTTAAAACTATTTTAAATTATTTAAAATTTTAATGAAAATAAGTCTTCAAGTTTTACATTAGTAAGGCTGTTCTATTGTTTGGGCTGGTAAGGTGGGACTCATGTGACCTACATTAGAGTTGCTGTTTAGCCTTGTGTCAGTTTTAGTTAGTCTCCGTTCATAGTTCCCAACCCATAATATGAGGTTTTGCCTTCAAACCTGTGTTGTGAGAATAAAATCATTAGAAGTTGTGAGTTGCTCAGATGCTGTAGTTCTGGAGGCTATATGAATAGCTAAGGTGGATCGGTAGTCAGCTATATTGTCTTTCTGAAGTTAAGAGATGACAAGTTTGTGCTTTTCTAGTGGTGGTGGTGGTGATGATGATGATATCTCATACTCTTCTTAGGGCCTTTCCTCCCATAGGATCCCACAGCTTTTAAAAAAAGTTTTTATATGCATAGGAATTTCTGCAGCCACCTCTGGGGTAGAAGACAGCAACTATGCTTTAGGAATGCACTGTAACACTTCGGAACAATCTGAGACAGGAAAAGAAGAACACTTTTACAGAGCAGAATTTCCAAGAGAATTTATTCAGAAGAAAGGTAAAAAGCACAGAAAGAGTTACTGCAGCTAAAGGGGAGAAATAGCTGATGTCTGCATGGACAGCTGGAAGATTCCACAAAAGGAATTGAGAATACCCCCCAGTATGACCATCTGTGGCTGGAACCAAATATTGTCCCATCAGCATTCAGCAACCACTGAATTTAGGCCTTCCCAATACTGACATTTTCCAAATTGCCTGCCAGTCAGATGCTGAGGAGGACATGTGTAAAGTGTCAGCAGTCTCCAAAGTGTTCACAAGAAGTACAAAGCAAATCTGAATGAGAGAGCGAATAAAAAAATAGAGCAGACCAACAAAAAAATGTTGTTTTCTTACTGCACATGAGGAGAAAACGGGGTTGATGAAGGGAGAGGATGACAGCCTGTAGCTTGCCCTTTGTGAATTGTCACTATGTTGGTTTGTCAGCACAGGAAAAATTGTCTTGTTCTTATTAAATATGCATTTTCAATGTTTTAGATTGTCTGTAAGAGAGGATTTGTGCTTTAATGTTGACAGAATATCTCTCTGACTCAGTGTCCCTGGGTTTGGCTGTGGGAATTTATAAGTGTGCCTATAAATTTGATACTACTGAAGCGAAATCATACTATGAAACTATGAAATCTTCTGCATAACATTTAAGGGACTGATGAGATTTAGTTTTCAGAATCCCTGAGTATTGCACTTACCAGGCTTCTTGGGCCATCCTTGGATCTACAAGACTGGATCAGTTCATTTTTGGCTGGAAGGAGATAGGACTTGATGGTGCAACATGCTGCAGTCTTTTTAGTTCTGTCTGCTCTCCAGGGGTGCTTGTACACGTGATTAAAATTGCCTGTTTTTACGGTTTACACTTTCCATGTACATTTTTTTTTTTCTTCAGATTTAAATGAATGTGTTACTTTGCAAACTAAATGACATCCCCATGTAGTTTAATTTGCAACGTAGCTACCTGTAACGTTGCAGCCCTTAATCTGACAGCTCACTCCCTGGCTGCAGGAGAGGAAGGTTGAAGGCAGAAGTGGGGAGGGGCCTGGCAGAGCCTGCCCATGGCTGCGTGGGCAAGCTGCTGGTGGGCTCCAGTCTCCATGCTGGCGGCACCCCCTGGGGCTGCCTGGGTGGGTTGCCAGCAGGCAGGCTTAGGGAAGTTATTTTGGGCCAGGTACTGCCTCTGAGCTGGGGCAGCACACAGCCCTCTAGCCACCCATCTGGCAGCCCCATGGAGGGAAGGACCAGGGCCCCCTGCAGCTCAGGGGCTGCTTGGCTAGCTGGCCCCCTGGCCACAGGAGAGGCAGGCAGGGTTTGGCAAAAAAAAAAAAGCGAGAGTAAAAAAAAAAAAAAAAAAAAAAGGATTGGGCCCCTCACCATAACAGTGGCAGAGAAGCCCCTAACTTGAAATGGTGGGTTTTTAATCATCACAATTAAAAACCTACTGTTCTCAATGAAGGGGACTAAACCCCCATCACATGTATAAGTGCCCCAGTAGTTTTCATTCTTCAGCATATAATTGGAATTGTACAATGCAACTGGAATGGATATTAGGCCTTTGATGCAGGTGTGAGGGTACTGTGAATGGCACTTGAGCTTATGATGAGTGTATACTCTTGGGATCCAGGCTTCAGGTTGAAACAGTTGATATTTTTCTTTTAGACTAGGGACAAAAATTACACATAATCCAGTATAAGTGATTGGAAACTGGTTCAAATTTGTAACACAACAGAAGTTCAGTGCACATAAACCTGTTTCAAAATGGCTGAAACCGGTTTAAGATAAACTGGATGGATGTAGTATTAGATTTAACTGATTTAGGTTAAATTGCTTTATTGAACTTCTGTCCCAGATTCCCTCCAGATTCAAGTTAACTCAGTCACTCAGCATCCCAGGATGCTTTGCACTTCCTCTGTAAACACCCCTTCGCAGGGTGGGCAGGCAGGCCTTGGCCCAGCCTGTCTACTCCAGCTGAGCAGGGAGACATGCTGTAGTGTCCCCTGGCTTCTGGCCTGAGCCACTGCAGGCATGTGGCTGCATTTCTGGATACAAATGTGAATGTCTGTTAACTTGCTTATTGGTTCAATCTACGCAGCTGAGACTAACCTGTGAAGATTTATCCGATTCAGCCTTGGGCTTTTTAACTGTCTATACTTAGCCTCTAACCCTTCCTTCTTGAAAGCTTTTCAGAAATGGCTGGGAAAGGAAATCACCAGCAGGAGAAAAACTAAAGTAGGAAAGCTGGAGGAGCAGGTGTAGACCAGCTGTAATTGCCTATGAAGTGGTTGGAGACTGGAGTAAATGAGGAGCCCACACTATGGTGACATAGAGGGCAATGGTTAAGCGAAGAACTGGAACGGCATCCCAGAAAAGGATTAAAAATGAAAAGTAACAGAGAACCTTACTTCTCGATAGCGTGTTTTCTCTTGCAATGGCATCCCATGCCCTGCAGTACATTGTAGTTCTCACATCTGAAAAATGGGTGGGAAGGTTCACATTGCCTAAGAGCTCCAAAACTTTAATGGAAACCATAACTGCTAATATAGGATTACTGTGAAGTCTGCGCAACTAGTTTTGGGGAAATATCCCAACAGGTTACATTTACCTTTACTTGCCCATGCAGCACACAGCTTTACAGGCATCAAGAAAATGATTTCAGAATTGTGTTAGTGAGTTATGAAGCATTTTAGGGGCATTCTGAATTCCTGGTTTAAAATTATGGACTCTGTCAGCAACAGGCAATAGTCTCTGGCCATGTCCACACAAGCGTAGATGTTTAGTTCCTCCGGGACAACTAGCAGTGGGACACCTTGTGCTGCTGCTAGCTGTCCCTGGGAAACACCTGTGCCACACACCCTCTGGCATGCAGCAGTTACCCCAGGTAGGGGAGGGGAGGCTGAGGCCAGCACTGGGCTGGCCCTAGAAGGGGTCAGGGGGGGCCTTCCAGGACTGCAGCAGCAGCAATTCTGCTGCTTGGAGCCTGGCTGGCTGCCAGTGTGGCTCCGGCCAGGCAGGCTTCGGTTTTGAGGGGCTCATGCTGCTTCCATATGCGCCGCTCAGCCTTTTTTGTGTGCAGATTTTTTGACCCCTGGACATCCAAGGGTCAAGCCCCCTCATCCCCGCTGCTCCCTTTCAGTGCAGAGAACAGCTGAATGCGCAGTTTGTTCTATGTAGCACTGCAGATGTCTGCGGCACCACATACTGCATGGCTATGCTCGTCTTGAAGCGACCACTTGGTGTAAATTGGCCTAGTTCTGTTGATTCCATTTACATCAGCTATGGCTTTCTGCTAAAAGTTCTTACTTTTGGAAAACTAAAACAAGCATAGCAGCATGGCAGTCCTAATGAGGATATCTGTCATGTAACAAACTGAGCCAGTGGGAGTTAAGGGCCTTTGGATAGAGCTCTTTATCATAACAGAAACCTGGGTCTTCTCTGCACTAATCTGACACTAGTGAACCCTCACCTAGTGGAGCTGCTCCTGATTTGCATCCATGTGGGTGAGGAGAACTGGGTCTCTAATTCCTCATGGTAATTCTACTTGTTTTTGTGTCTTATGCCTCCACTAAAGTTTTACATTTAGAACCATTTTAACCCATAGAAAACAAAGCTACACTTGTTAATTTTTAGTTCAGGATATAATGCATTTTGGTAGACTGTGATGCAGCACCTGTTTTCAGTCCTTGAGTGACATTTAGTTTGCAGTTTCATTTACCTTTATTTTGGTTGTTTCTCCATCTACATTTTAATTGAATTGACTCCTTGCATTTTCAATGGTGACACTTTGGTAGGTGAATAGCAAAAGGATATTGACCTTATACCTATTAATTTGGGGATTCCGACAACTAAATTTAAAAGCCTTGTAGCCACTGGGAAAATCAATCTAGCTGAGAGAAGATGGGAGCATGGCATTGAGGTAATTGCACTTATTTCTCTAGTTGTCTGCTTTGTGCATTATCTTTGTCACCCTGAAGCACTAAAGCTTTATTGTTACCTGTCAACAATAAACTAACACTGCTGGTTATGAGCCCCAGTAGTGAGAAAATTTTAGTCTTCTGGCCAGCAAATATTTCTGAGGCCAGATCTTCACTGCAGGATTTTAGTGGTAGAGCTGTATCAGTCAGAGGTGTGAAGATGTGAGATCCCTGATTGACAAAGCTCAGCAAAATTACCTTGTACAGTCACAGTACCAGCAAAACTACTCTTAAGTTGGGATGGCTTATTTCATTTGGCTGGGAAGCAGGGGGGCGCTGAAATAAGCTACACTAGCAAAACCACAGTTTTATTGGTATGAGCTATGCATTCTTTCAAAGCTCTTTCCTTGTACAAGGTACTGGCATAGCAGTACAGGACTGGCAAAGTGCTCCTGGTATGAACCTGCTTTCCCTTTTTTGAACATATATATACTTATACTTAAGCAGACTGTGTCCCAGCAACGGGCCCAATCCTGCAGCCTTTGCTCACAGAAGTTATTTTATTGACTATTATTAGGGTCTCAAAGAGCTAAAGCCAACTTAGATACTGTTGAGAGACATTTTGTCAGTTTTTTCTGGGAGTTTTGTTTGTTCTTTATATTCTGTTATCAGAAGTGCCTTTACCACAAACTCAGTCCTGATCCTCAAAGGAAACTTACAAAACACTTCCCAGAGACGAGCCTATGAGCTCCATTTCATCAACCTCCTGGATACTAAAAATCATGGACTAAATATAGACATTGGATTTATGACACATTATAACCTGCCTGACATCTGACTCCCCAGGTACCTCTCCACTTTCAACCCCCTTCTCTCTCCCCCTCACCCCCCGCCTGTCTCTCACCCATTGACTCCTCAATCTACATTTTCACTGACTACCTGTCTTGCATGCATACCAGCCCAGCCCCTGGCTTCTTTACTTTTCATTCCATCCAGGAAGAGCACACACCAACTGCTGAAATTTCCTTAGCCTGACGAAGGGTTTTTGAACCCGAAAGCTTGCTTAATAACTATTCTCCAACCATTTGGGTTGGTCCAATAAAAGATATCAGATTCACCC